CCATTAGTCGTCTTTGGAATAAATCTTCATAACAATAGATCGGATCGCCACATTGCTCATTTACTATTTCTTTTTAATTTTATGCTTTTAATGTACATGTTTATTTATTATTATTTGTTGTTTGATAAGGCATCAAATTGTGCCTATTGTAAGGCCACTCTGAGTCCCTTTCAGGGTGAGAAGGGCACAGTACAAATGAATGAATGAATAAATAATAGCAGGGCTTTCACCTTTGCTGATGGTCCCTATTGCATGACATTGGGTGATACCTGTTGCTGGTCTGATGGGGAAGCAGCAATAGAGGTAGTGTGGATTTATGCCGCCAACTGAGAAGATAGTGACAAGCATGTCCAAGATGTCTGACATGAATATGTCTTCTCTTGTTAATTGTGACATCCTTGCATTGGAGGGGGGGATATATAACTACAACACATGCTTAGCATGAAGCTACTTAATGACTCCCTCAAGAAATGCTGTAGAAATTCAGGGTAATTGTGCAGTTTCCCAGAAATAGGCTCATTAAATACTCCCTGGTGCCCCGCCCTTTTATTCCAGAAGAATAGAGAGAAAGTGTCTCAGCTGGAGGTTGGACCATGCTGAGCGACAAGAGGATCTCCTCAACTCCTCTGGGGGTTTTGTGAGCAAAGGGTAGCATTTGCATTAATAATCACTGCACAGATGAGAATCCAGGAATGGGTTTTTTTTTTGCTTGAACAACATATACACATTCTTTTAGTGGAAAAAGTTGGAAGAAGATACAAGAAAATGCATTCTTTGACACATGGTTAAGTTTCTATTAAGGTACATATATGCCCAGCCCAGATTCACATCTCATTGATTTCCCCATTCACCCCATTTTGTTCTTTCTCTCTGTGGTCCTGTGTCTTTATGCTTTTTAAATATCCTTTTTGTACATTTCTTTGTACTTTTAAAAAAGCAACATATGTATTTTTAAAAAACCAACCACTTGGAACTCATTATGAAGCACACATCTAACTATGGATGTGATCAATTTCCATGCTGAGAGAACCATATAGCGCAGGACACATCCATGTCTTTGTCTGCACTTTTACTCTCATTTTAAAAATAGAAACATCCCTTGTTTTTGAAGCTGTCTGAATGCGGATCCCACTATTTCCCCACCTAAGTAACTTCTAACCCCAACGGCTGTACGTCTGCACATACCTCATTGAGGAAGACAGCACTGCTATTGTGCAACTATAATTCCCTGATAAAGAGACTCTGTTTGCATTGTAAATCATGTTGCAAGCCAGATCTTCCCATCCTGCCTACATTCAGAAGCTGTCACCAAGGTGGCAGAAGAACAAGCAGATGACCTTGAATTAATGAAACTAGACAGAGTAAGATCGATGGAGGAACACAGATAGTTGCTCAGATGGTTGCAGTTGCACACGTACTACTATCACATATGGGATAGATTAAGGCTGTCATGGCAAAGAGTCTCCCGGGGACATGCCTGTGATAAAAGCAAGTGATGGATGAACTTTGAAAATGTTTGAGGATTTCTTTTTTGGAATAACCTCCCCACACACACTTTTTTGAGGTAATCAAAAACGTAGACGCTTTTTTTGATCTGAGTCACATGAATAGATATACATAAACCTACATATACAAGAACGATGACTGCTCTGTTCTTGCAATAAAAAAGACCTATCCAGACAATCAATTAGAGGGCATCCCTGGCACATTTCATCTTTGCTAGGAGAATCTACAAAGCCTCTTTTCAAAGGCAATAGTGTAACATCTGCTAGACACATAAAAGAGAGGTAGACTTGCACTGTAGCAAAGCAATAAGTCACAGTAAAGTAGGAAGACGTTTGGACACATACGCTTTTGTGGACAATTCTTCCTTCATGTTGTTGAACACACAAAAAATGCCTTATACAGTTAGCACTCTTGCATCCACAGGAGTGGTATCCAAAGATTCATAAACCCATGTCTGATGAAATATATAATCTCTAAGCATTTTCTAGATCCTATAATACATTACTTTGGACCAGAAGTTATTCATTTTTTGCCAAAAGTTTAATAATTATAATAATAATAATCATCATCATCATCATCATCCCAGTGGCCCCAGTGGTAATCGACACACTGGGTGCCGTGCCAGAAAATCTCAGCCGGCATTTGGAAACAATAAACATTGACAAAATCACAATCTGTCAACTGCACAAGGCCACCTTACTTGGATCTGCATGCATCATTCGAAAATACATCACACAGTCCTAGATGCTTGGGAAGTATTCGACTTGTGATTTTGTGATACAAAATCCCGCATATATATTTTGTTTGCTATGACATACTGTGTTTTTGTGTCAATAATAATAATAATAATAATAATAATAATAATAATGGAGAACTGGATTATATATGTTCTTGTTTTAAATATGAAGAGAGCTGGTGTGGTGTTGGGGTTTGATCATTGGACTATAATTCTGGTTGGATTCCTCATTCAACCATGGTTTCACCTTAGGCTTGTCATAAGTCAGAAATGACTTAAAGGTACACAACAACACATCATTACATATGAAGAGAGTGCAAGCTCTGAAAACAGGGATATACACAAGCATTAAGCAGCAGGGCTTCTTCATAGGGCTGCCAGTTGAAAAAAAAAAGGACAGGGCTCCTGGGATTGAATTTCAGTCAGTAGAGCCTGTGACAAACATTATCTGCTGAAACTGTCTCCTCTGAACAACATTTAAAAGTGCCTTGCAATCGTCCTAATTTTCACTGAAGCAACTTCATATCTTGTTAGAAAGCTTCAATATACTTTTCCTGAAGAAATTCTCATAATCTTCTCTAGAGCAATTTCAGGTGGACAAAACAGCTTATACCACCTGGAAATAACAACCAGAAAAGGACATGTGGTACTGTATGGTCAATTAAGCAATGTTGTGGAATGAATTTCTCAGGTAGGTTGATAGACCTATAAGTGGGTGGGATATCGGAAAAAGTAAAGCTTTGCTTCCTTTCTGTGTGACACCAAGAGACTTTTCACGCTAAAGGCAGAGGTAGAACAAAGGAAGTTTTGTTTAGTGGTTGCTAAAGCAAAATTAGCTTTCCCAAAGAAGGAAGAGATGGCTATAGGTTTACGGTATTTATTTATCCATTTAGTGTGCCAAATAGCTTTAATATTTTTATTGCAGCTTAATTGTTTTCCTTGGACCAACAAGCAGGCCTTCCTTTAAAAATGTGTCTTATTAAATGATAATTAAATAAAGATTTTGGTCGGCACAAGTTAATAATAATGCGTCATTACTATTTTGGGAAATATTAATGGAAATGCCATCAAAATATGTAAGCCAATGTAATATCAACTTTTGAATTTTCATTTTGATTTTTATTCACAAGACTAGGAGTAGGAGGAAAGTTAATTGCTTGTTCATAATATTAGTATGCTTGATGTGAAGGCATGCTAAAGAAATGCCTATATACCAATAGCGAAACCACATCTTCTTCCTTCCCTTCCTCTTCCACCTTCCCTCCTGCTAATTCTTCTTTTATTTTTGGAGGGGTGGTTTGTATATAAAGTATTGCTAAATATTAAAATCACATTCCTTGTATTAGGCCTGCATAACCTGCAGCCCTCCAGATGTTTGGATGTCCAACTCCAATGGAGTTCCAATGGCCAAACATTCCAGAAGCTGAAGTCCAAAACACCTGGAGGACCACAAGTTATGATGGTATCTCCAGTTTCTATGGATGGATGTAAATGGCTGTTTGACAGTAAAGAAAGCTGAGAGGAACAAAATTAATTATTGAAAAGTGATGGTGAAGGAGAGGTCTATGTGTACCATGGACTGCCAAAAAACAAATGGATTCTGGAGCAAATCCCAGATCATAGAGATCAAAAGCCAAAATGATTACATGGAGGCTATTGTATTTAAGACATTTCATGGCAAGGCATAGGAAAAAACCTACTGGGTAAGTTGGAGACAGCAGAAAAAGAGGAAGACAATATTACAGATTAACTCAATCGAGGAATCTAATCCCTTGAGTCTGCGAGAGCAGAGGAAGACTGTTAATAACGGGTCCTTTTGGTGGTTTCTCCTTCATAACGTGATTGTTAAATTGGAGTTGACTTGACAAAAATTTATTACAATTCATGGAACCTAGTCGCTGTCATACCAAGTCAGAGCTTTGCCCATTCATGTCAGTTCTGTGCAGAATTTAGAAATGCTACTGTTTGGGGTCTAGAATTGGCATGATCACTCAGCCAGCATGGGTTCTGGCTATGTTGTCTGAGGGAATGTGGGAGATGCAGGTTGAGCATCCCTTATCTTGAATTTTAAAATTCGTCAGAATACAAAATTATCCAAGTGGTTGGCCTTTGTTTTTTGATAGTTCAATGTACACAAACATTGTTTGTATAAAATTACGTTAAGTTCGCGCTATGTGTTAAAGTTATATATAGAAGATAAATAATATGTATTTTATAGAAATACATTTTAATATTGTGTTTGTGGTATTTTTTACAATGTTTATGTGTTTTAATTATTCTGTAACTCGCCTTGAGCTACGAGGAGATGTAGGTAAGAAATAAAATTATTATTATTATTATTATTATTATTATTATTATTATTGAATTTGGTTTATATTTGGCACTATCTTCATATCCTATTATGTATGCATATGCAAATACAAGTATTACAATGTCTGAAAAATTCCAAGTGCTTCTGGTTCCAAATGTTTAGATAAGAGATAATCCACCTGCATAGCCTTAAAAAGTAATATTTCAAAATTACTTGCAGTATTAAGGACCTGGTGTGCAGGTTTTAAGTCATTATAGAGGTTTTTTCTTACTCTATCTACACCAATTGATTTTGAGATCTCTCCTAAGGAAGGTGTATGCTCTGTTTTTGCATGACTGTGCTATTACATCAGCAGCTGTTATATCAGAGATATCAGAAGCATAATGTTGCAGTATTCTTGTGCATTACCATCAGCAAACTGGAATACTTGCAAGAAAAAGACTAAGTATTGCAACACAAGCAGATACTACCATAAACCCTCTGGAAACTCTATTGCTACTTACCAATCATGATAGAGGCTGTCAATACCTATACATTACTCCATTGGGTAAGGCATCAATTAATACTCAGTGATTACCAGTAGACCACAGCAATGTCATCTAGTGAGGGGAGAAGCACAACACTGCAAACGTTTTTCTCTGTTGATTTGTTTAATTTATATACCACCTTTCTCCCAACATGGGACCCAAGGCAGATCATATTAAAACACAGCACAACTTAAAAAACATAATGACAAAGTAAGAAAATTAAATAAACCAGTATTAATTTAAAACAGTATAAACATATTTTAAAATGTAACAGCAAGAATAAAAGTTCATCAGAGTCTCTCATTAAAATAGCTTGGTATGCAATCAATTGATTGTCAAAGGTTTGTCTAAATAAAAAGATAATTTCTTGCTGGCTGAGTCTTTTGTGGAAGGGATTTCAACACCCTGGAAGCACACACCAAGAAGGCCCTCGCGAGTGTCCTTGCCAGATATGCCTCTTCATCATGGTGGGGCTGATAGGAAGCCATCTCCTGAAGATTTCAGAAAGCAGGCAGAGTCATGTCAGGAGAAGATGAAGTCTTCAGGCAGACTGGACCCAACTTGTACTTCCAAGGTGTCTCTAACAGCCATGAATCATGGCAAGAGCTAGTAGACCAATGGTGGCAAGCCACTCACTGTATTCATGGTATGCTGTCAAGTTGTGTCAACCCTGGGAAAACAGATATAAACTTTGGTGAATATGTCACTGTTGGTGACTGGAAAGGTTTATTCATCATACACAACAAAATGTATATATTGCATTAGAGCATTTTAGAAATAGATGACTATAATACAGGCTGAGTATCTCTTATCCAAAATGTTTAGAGACAGAAGTGTTTGGGATTTTTTTTCCAGATTTTGAAATAACTTTATTTGCCGATATGTACATAATGAGATATGCCAGAGATGTGACTAGAATCTACACACGAAATTGATTTCTCTTTTATATACACCTTCAGCGCTTAGCCTGAAGGTAATTACTGTACATACAATGATTTAGATAATTTGGAACATGAAAAAAGTTTGCATACACGGATGCATCAGAAAGCAAAAGTGTTGCTGCCTCAGCCACCCATGTGGGTAATTTGGGGTTTTGGAGTATTTTGGAATTCCAGATAATGGATTTTCAAACTGTACTTTCATTTATTTCAGGGACACATATTGTATTCCTTCCAGTACTGTTAGACTGAAAGATTCATTCTCCCCCAAAGAAAGACCTAGAGAGTTGAAGTCCACAAGTTGACACCACTGACTTAAATGGCATTTAATGACATTATTTACCCATCCCATCTGAAAATGTGCCTTAATACTACAATTGAGTGATAAATGGGAAAAGAAATCCCTGGATAGCATCACAAAGGTCATCATAGATTCATGTAATGGGTTACCTTGTCCATATCAAGGTCTACAACAGGGGTCCTCAAATTAAGGCCCGGGGGCCAAATATGGCCCTCCAAGGTCATTTACCTGGCCCTCACTCAAGGTCAACCTAAGTCTGAAATGACTTGAAAGCACACAATAACAACAACAACAATCCTATCTCATCAGCCAAAAGCAGGCCCACACTTCCCATTGAAATACTAATAAGTTTATGTTTGTTAAAATTATTCTTCATTTTAATTATTGTATTACTTTTAAGTATTTTTTGCGCTACAAATAAGATATGTGCAGCGTACATAGGAATTCATGTTTCTTTCAAATTATAACCCAGCCCTCCAACAGTTTGAGGGACTGTGACCTGGCCCTCTGTTTAAAAAGTATGAGGACTCTTGGTCTACATGAAAATAGCCATTAACAAGAGAAGCATCTATAACTGGAGTAATTGTGTTTCTCTTCTGTCCTCAAAAAAGTCAGCCTAGAAGGGAAGAAAAATGGAAGTAGTGCTGGTAAAACATAGAAAGTTTACAAATGGATGACAATGTCATGTGGATCCACTGTGAAAAGTGAGTGAGTGCAAGTGCAGAACTGTGGAGAAGTTTGGGGTTTTGGACTACAACCCCCAGGAAACCCAGTCACACAGTATCCAAGGTCTGCAAAAGACTCATACCAATTTCACAGTACATTCTCATCTGTCTAAATTCATAACTAGGACAAGATCACATCATAATTCAGTTACCAAATGTTGCTATTTAATCTCCTTTTTCTTTCTCTATAATGCAAATCTCCCATTTTTCAGAATTATTTTTATAGATGAACTTTCTATGAAAAGAGGGAAATTAATCTTGAACAGCAACTGCATTTCAAAACAAGATGGTGTATTGGAACCAATTGTGCATTCTTTCTTCCACAGTCAGCCTAAAAAAATGAGGGGAAGAGGTCATATGAAGTTCAAAGCATCATTGTTCTCCTTCCAGAGGTTTTATCTGTGGAGCCGGGCATTCTGAAGAAGTCACCAGAAAGATTATCAAGGATGAGTGCTATTGACACAAATATGACGGCATCAAACCTTTAATGTATGAGGTGTTTCTGACTGTAAGGCAAAACAGATGACTCCTGTCAGACATTCAGATATCATATCCTATATAAGAAATTCATCTCAGGTAGCAGGATGTCCAAAAAAAAAAAAAAAGTAGAGGAGCATAAAAAAGATGTCTCTTGGTCTGGTGAATCTAGGGGTATACATATGTGGAAGTATGTTTTTGCATACTAGTCTCTAGATTACTGTTCGAGGCAGAATAATACATGACTTTCCCTCTCCTTACCCCCAGAGGTTCCTCACACTCAGCAATGTTATAATGCTAAACTGCACACACACCCTTCCCTAGAGCAAAATCCAATAATCACACAGCAAATAACTACTTTATATACTCATGTATATAGGTATAGACATTTCTATGAATAAATTAACTCTCAAAACCTGGGTCAACTTATCCATTGGTCAATGCAATTACTGTACCTTAACCCATATCAAAAAGTCATACCAAAATTCATGATTCCATCCCCAAAATCTGCATCCCATTTATGTAGGAGATCAGCTTATACATGAGTATATACAGTAATAGTTTGGCTACCCTTCCATGACACTCTGGATCTGCTGCCTGAAATCCAGACAAGTTATAAAGTTGAAAGCATCAGCTGTCAAAGCAGAAGGGGTGAATGATTTGTGACCATAGTAACCCAGTAGCAGAGCACACACTTTTATTTCGCCAGTTTCTGGGCATATTTAGGTAGGCTTGGAAAATCCCTATCTGAAATCCTGGAAACTTTCCCCCATCAATGTAGAGACTACAGTGGGGAGTGGCATGGGAGTGGCACATCTTAGTCCTGGGGGCTGCATTTGGGCCTCCAGGCCTGTTATAATGGCCTCTAAACATCCTGCACTACTTCTTTTCATGCCTAAAATGAAAGTAAAAGGTAAATAGTGTCTCCTGAAAGTACCGGTAACAGCAATTTACTTTTTAAATAGGTTGTAACTCCTGTTTAGCATTAAAAATACAGTGTGACCCCTCATATCTGTAGGGGATACATTTCCAAGCTTTACATGGGTATGTGAAACCATAGATAATAGTGAACTCTATTGTTTTTTGTGGGACGAACAATGGAGATGTCAAGAAGAAGGTCTAGCTTGTCCACAGATATGGCGGCTGCATTGTACCTGTTTTTCAAAACCAGAAGAAGAAAGCTAGTCTCTTTTGCTTTTGCTTTTTTAACATTTTCAACAGTCTCTGGTGCCACTGGAGATTTCTGGGTGCAGAAATAATTACCCAATGCTAGAAGCTTGCAGACTATGCTCTCTAAGCCTCAGAGGAAGGCAGCAGTAAATTCCTTCTTGTTCAGAAACCCCCCTGAAGTGGTGTGGAAAGTGTGCACAGTGCTGTTAACAATAAATTTACAATTGTAAATTTATAAAACAATTTTACAGTTATGCCACTCTTAATGAACATTGATGAGGTCCCCTGTGGCAATTTGCCAGCCTCTGTGGTGAATTGGCGGGACGGCAGGACAACCTCGGCACCACTACTTCCCCATCACATGTGGGGAAGTGTCACTGTGTAGCTTGTCCCTGCAGTAGCCGCGTTATTCCAAATGGAACACGAGGAGGCTCCCATGTTGGCGTCACAGAGTCATACTATGCTGCTGCCCCAGTTGAGCAACAGAGCCCCGCCAGAAGTGATCTACGTCATGTGATAGGCAGTGTGGGGCTCCATTGCTCAACTGGAGTAGCAGCATCCTAGGATGCTAAAAAATCTGTGGTGTGGTGAGGCTATTAATAATAATAAATGCTCCATGAATCCCACCTTAAACTCTGGGAAGTTGCTTGTGAGAAGGCCTGCAGCACAGTCTACTGGGTTGCCAACATGCGCGCGCACACACACACACACAAACACCAGTATCCCACAAGACTCTCCTCATTGCATTGGATGCTGGACATGTCATCTTGAGATACCTCCCTCAAAAGCACTGCAGATATACATTGCAAGGAGTGACTTTCTGGTTTATACAACGGACCCCGAGGCAATTTATAACCATGCTTATATAGTTTGAATTTGATGTAGCATCTTGGCCAATTTTTATAGAATATGTTATTCTCAAAATACTTTTATTAGGCCTATTCAAACTTTTTTCTCAAATCTACTGTTTGAACTTTGTGTTCATATTGACTACTTCTGTCTAATGCATATTATAGATCAGGTCAAATCCCAGCTTTCCCAATTGTGCCAATTACAGCTTCTCACCTCATCTATTTTGCAGGGGGGGTTTTTTAGAATAAAAAGGTAGTACTGTAGGGAAACGCAGAGAGATCTGCATATTTGTGATAAAAGGATATTGTGAAATATCACAGTGCATATTTTGCGCATGCTGAAATTCAAAGGGGATCTTCTCAAGGAAAGCTCCTCCTAACTAGCAAGGTTCTCCCCTTTGCAGATTTTTTACAAGGTTTGTTTCTTACTTTTGCTTACCTTAGTAAGCAATTTGGAATCATGTAGCACAGAATGTTCTGCTCCAGATCTAGGAGAGGCTGTGGCTGTTTGTGTATTGGAAAGGGCAAGAATCTGCCTTCTTCTCTTCTTTCTTTGCTGATAAATTTACTGAATGCAAACCATTTTTGCATTTAAATTCAGTTTGCAGTAAGTGAAGTAAGCCAAGGACAAAAGAAAGTGTGAGCTGAAGTGAGACTTAACAGTTCATTTAACACCAACTCAACCTTAAGTTGGAGGATACATATCAACAGATCTTAGCCACCCAACCCAAAGTGCCAACTGAAATGGGGACAGGTAAAAACAATGTAGAAAAAAGCACAAAGTTTAAGTGGTACGACAAATGATGCAATTGCCTTCAGTAATAAAAAAGAATCCTGTAATTCCTATCCTGTCTTGGCAAGATGGCACAGCTGGCAAGTGAAGGCCTCCAAGGACCTTCCCAAGATACCAAGTGACTGTTATTCCTTCAATTCTGCTTTGTATTTTCCCAATTCATCCATTTTCTGCCTTCCTCCTATATTGCAATTCACACCTGGCTGTAACTTAATTTTCTACTGTTGAGATATAGTTTTGTGTACATCAAAGGAATTCCTGTGATTTTTATCTTCCAAGTTATGGACCTTGTAAATACTGGGTTCCTAATTCCCTTTATGCAGACAGGACCCTATTGCTAGAATTGGGTCCTTTTCCAGGTGCAACAAACAGAAATGTCCCCACTCTCCAATTCTCTCCACATAAAACCATGAAG